TTTTAATTTTCTACCTTAGCTTGTCTAGAACTAGCATGAAAAATGAACTCTCTTACTTGAAAGCAATCTGGCATCTAAATCATGTCAGACTGGAGCTTCACTGAAAGTAAAATAATGTATTACAAACAGGAATTAAGTTTTTAAAGTTTCATTTGAATTATTTTCATGCTCTGAGATGTAACGCACACTTCAGATCACGTTAGTATGTAATTAGAAATGCCATTCTCAATATTTTCAGGAAGTATGAGCAGATTTGCCGTAGAAAATACCACAAAATAATATATGAAAAAGACATTCATCCTAGGCTGCACTGCTTACTTGGGCTTTTCTATTTATTTGTTTCTTGTTCTATGGAAACTCAAGGAATAAGAACCCTCTGCTCTGCCCTCTGCATTCATCAGGACCTCACTGCAAAGCCACTGCGGTCAATCAACAGTTTCAGGCTTGGGACATTTGGCAGATTTTTTCACTTTCTTCACCCTAAATATACACATAGCAACAATTAAATGTCAGGATTTTGTAAAACATGTAAACTGCGCTATTTCAAGAGTAACTCGGCAGCAATCACAGCTTCACATTCATAACATTGTTAGCACTGATTGATTGAAAACAGGGTTAAGGGCAGGAGGAGAAACACTCTGTTCCTCTCCAGAGAGCTGCTCATAATGATTTAAAAGCATGGTTAGAAATAGAGGGTTTATGCGGTAAAACTTTTCATTTGGTGACTAACAGCAACCTGTTATTTATTACTCAATCAAGACTGACTGGCAGGTACAATTTTCTCTTTGGATAGCAGAATTAGGGTATAAGTTGAACCAATCAGGGAATAATTCTACTCAGTACATAGAAACACATAAACCCCAGTATTTATTCACCAACTGAGTGAAAATTTCCATTAAACAGGATTCTTTTGTTCTCCAGTCCAAGCTTGCCAAAAATTAGACAAAAACAAACAAACAAAAAGATTGAGACTTCGAAGGTTGATTTGGGTCATAACAAGACAATCGAAGTGACACAACGCTCATTTTTAATTGGACTTCCTAATGTGACATCAAAATGTTTTTCTTCTAAGAAGCAGCACTTCAATAAGGCATGAAATCCTTGCAGCTTAGTTTATTAAGAGACAACAAAGGAATTCCAATCTGATACAGGAAAGTTTCAGCTATGAGCACAGCCAGTGCAGTACAAAATTGTGTCATATGAATTTTAATGTAACACAACTATGAAAGACTCCAAAAGAACAAAGGCAGTACAGTCCTATTCCACACTACACAAATGACCTATTCTGATCTGAACAGCACACCACATTACAATCAAATTTATTTCAAAAGAGGGTCGCACAGGTCAAATGTAATGGCTGCAAGAATGAGGTATTTCCTTTATGTGGTATTAGAGAAAAGCAAAATATCAAATAGTGCAGGAATGCCAGAGCTTTGAAAGGAAAGGCATATTTGGGCTACAGAGAAACTGGATCTTAAAAAGATGTTTTAATTACAGCTCTCCTTACCGACTACAGCTTCCAAATTTCAAGGATGTTTGACATCTTCATAGAGGAATTGCTAGTATACATATGAGAGAGGCTACTACACAGATTTCAATGCAAGTTTAAAGTGTCAAGACACCATAGACATGCTTTATATACAGCCCACGCTTAACAAAGTAAGAGGACAACATACCTCCTCTAACTGGCTGGATAATTCTTCCCAGCCTAACAACATGCAGGAGCCATGACACTAACAGCAGAGGCAGATGGCAGCTCATAATAACAACAGAGGGGATGGTAATGCTCCCCCATTTTGGCATGCTGAGGATCCAACTCCAAATCAAAAGCAACATAGAAATACCAGAACATCAGAGTTTGCCTGAAAATATTAGACTCTCAGGAAGTGGAATACATTAAAATGTTTATCTTAAATAGTTCCTAGTCCCGACTTCTCAGTTCAGCATGGATGTTTGCCCATTCTCTCTGGCTGGACACATTTGCTCATAATATAAATCTAATCTGAGTGCACATGGGGAGGAGGTAGCCAGGGTAACAAGCACCCAGTGCAAGGTATAGCCATAATAAGGCAAAGGTAAATGTGGTACCTTGTAAGAAAAACAAAATCATGAAGAGTTTCTATTTCTCAAAGTACAAAATCAATAAGGAAGGTACACAGAAGAAGCCTTACAACTAAGCCTTCTGAAAACTAAATTCTTTGGAAATCAAATTCTATCTGAAAATTCACCCCAAGCCCAAGGTTCTTTAGAAGATATGCGATATGCTACCTGCTTTTGCTTTCCACTATTATGTCACTCAGCGATACCTGGAACTTCACAGACTGCATTACACTGAAGCATCTTCCCTTTGATTCTCAGCCAGGGCTCCCTCAGACACAGAACAAGAAAGGAATAAAAGCTGTACTGGAAGAATTTCCATCATGAGCTGGCTGCCAGCCTGAAGGTTAGCATTAGTTTTATTGCCCAAATCTAGCACTACAATTGGCATTAGCCACCTCAGCTCTCCTAGTTCTAATCTACATTTCAAGAGACATCAAAATATTTATAAGATGTAACCATTATCTCCCCCAAAAATAAATTAAAAAAAAAAAAAAATCAATAATTTCCAGACTGTAAAAATTAAGCATAACTAGCTTGAGAATTCTACACGTAGATAGAATTCTATTTCAAAATGATCTTACACTTGAGCTTCCATAGCCCATAGCACCCTTCCTTCCCCACCTTTTAGTATTTTTTGAAGGTTAAATAGTTTTCATTTGTTAACAAACATTTGTATCCCTTGCATTCTCTTACAAATGGCAGCTCTACTATAATTCATTAAGGTCTGCATTAGGAGACAGATATAAGGGAAAAAATAGAAACCTTTAATGTTTCACTTGGTGAATAAAAACTGCATTAATTTAGAAATTCAGTCACCAGAATCCAATTAGCTATGGATATATACTTACATATTCATACCTTTCAACCATCACATCTCATTTGAATTTCGATGCTATTTTCTACAAAATAGTCTCTATTTTACATTGTATTTAATAGATTTATTCAGATATGCATCCTCATATATCATACTTAAGCTTATGCTACCACCCGCCTGAGGCTGTGTGGTCAAAATTGTCACCCCCACACACCTCATCATGAGCAGAACATTCTCCATAGATGCTGTAAGAACTGTTTCACTCCTGCATGGTGCAGAAGGATGAGAATCTTTCTGACCGTAAACAATATCCACTCCAAAAAAAAAAAAAGCAGTTACCCATCCACGCCCCTTGCCACCCCCTCCCCCAAATATATATATAAATATATTTGTGCTTTCAAGTTATTTTAAGCTGTGCCACAATGAAATATCACCACTTTCACCGTTTCACTTTCAGAAGCCAGCAGATTACCATAATGTAAACTCTACAATTGTTGCATATATATCATACACATAGGTATATAAAAGTACCTGCATATATAGAGATGTGCACATACACCATTTCACACCCAGATGCTCTGAATTACCTTCAAATACAAACTTGCAAATCAGGCAGATTGACTCTGTCTCCAACTAATAGCACCAAGGTGTTTTGATAGCACTGCCCACCAGCAGCACTGAGCTGGAACAAGACTGACCTGCAAAGGTTAAGCAGAGGACTGCCAGCAACAATCTGAGGCTCAGGAATTGTTTCTTCAATTAACCAGTGACCAACTCTGATTTGTGGAGCAAATCCTGGGTTGCAAAACCATTAACGGCAGCACTCATTCTCTTTGGATTTACACCTTCTCTCAAACGTTTCAACTTAGCTCTATTAAAGACTCAGACCAAACTCCTCCTTGCTCTTTTGGCATTAACATCCCTGCCAAGACAAGAAAGTGCTCCAAAGGTCAGTTTACAGCTTGTCTCCCACGTTCCTGCATGCTATGTCTACGAGGAGAGCACAGCAGCCCTGGAGAGGAGGGGAGGGAGGAGGAGATAAATATTAGCACTGTGATAAGCTCGCAGTATGTGACTTGCAGGGGGCAGATTTCACATGGCCACTGCATTTCAGGGAAAGCAGGAGATGGAACCCACCTTGCTGCAGGGAAGATCAGGTAGGGACCCAGGTTTTCTCCACACAACCAGCAACAGTACAACAAGGTGAACTTAAAGCAGGGCAAACCCCAGCTCTTCTCCAGGTCTGATTCCCAGCCTGCAGGGAGCCCAGTATCTTGGGACTGCTGGCAACACCAGCAGCTGCCTGAGGCAGCAGAGGCCTTGGAGCTACCAGCTCCCTGAACCTCCTTTTTTTCCTGACACTCCAAAGAGCAGGAGAACGCTCAACCAGATAAGTCCTAGGAACACCAGAAGTTGCAAAGATCCTGACCCCTGCCCCACTGCATACACCGCACTCCAACTTTGTGCTTTTCCAAGGCTCGCTGCATCCCACCAGCAAAAGCATTCGTGGCACTCAATGATAACACGTTCTTGCCCTCAGACTCGGCGAGCATCAGCGGCCGGCACCCTCAGCCACGAGCTGCCCCAACCACGAGAACTGTCTCTTCTGCAGCCACTCGCCCCCGTGCAACCCCAGCTCCTCGAGCCCCATCCCTCCAGCTCCCCTCCGCCCTGACTGAAGACGGCCCCTTTCCACAACACTAGGGCGGGGGCAGAAGCCCCGTACAAAGTTTTGCCAGAGCCTGCCGGCGCCTCCCGCCCTCTTTCCATCAAAGCCCCCACAAAGAATGGGGCAGCCGGGGAAGGGACGCCCGTGCCGCGCGCCCCGGGGCCGAAGGGACGCCCGCCGCCGCCCGCTGACAGTGAGCCCGGAGCCGCTGACTGTCAGCGACGCCTCGAAGCGCCCGACTCGCCGCGAGATGCCGTGGCAGCACATCCCGCCAGCTCGGAGGGGATGGGAGCGAAGTCCGGCCGCTAGCAGCGGTGAGAGCAGCAGCAGGTCGCCGCGCCCTGCGTTGCCGGCCCCGACCCGGGGCACCGCCGCCCCCAGTGCCTCGCCCCCAGCGGCGAAGGAGAGCTCACTCACCCCCAGCTTTCTGCTGCGAATTTTCACGTAGCCCTGCTTGACTATATCGTTAAAGTTGGAGGCCATGGCCAGCGCTGTCTGCTTCCTCCCCTCCGCGCCCGGAGTCCTCCTCCTCCTCTGCCGCCTCTTCCTCCTTCCCCGGGCCCTCCTGGGTGCCGCCGGCCGCCGGCTCCCGAGGCGCCTCTGGCATCCAGGCAGCGGCGGGGCCGCGCTCCGCTCCGCCCCGCGCTCCTCCCGCGGGTTCCGCTCCGCGCCGGCCCCAGTAGCAGAGGGTCCTCGACTCTTGCACCGGCCCCTCGCCTCACCCCGGCTGCCACCGCCCTGCCTGCCAGCCCCGCTGCGCGGCTGCCCGCTCCTACGGCCGGGGGAGCGGGAGGGGCAGCGGGCGGAGCAGGGCGGGGATACCGCCCCCGGCGCCGCGGTCGCGAAGCCCGCCTCCAGGCCGGTCCTACCCGCAGCTCGCCGCCGCGAGCTGCCGGGGCCGCGGGGAGGCGGTGAGGGGGGCCGGGGCCTGTGCAGGGGAAGCCCTGGGCTGAGAGCAGGAGCTCGGTTCGGCCTCGTCGGCTTTGGCCGCTGGTGTGGAGATGTGAGAGCCGGGTGGCTGTGCCCGGGTGGCATAACCGTGGGGGCAGACACAGGGGGGCACCGTGCCGTGCTTGCATGCGTCCGAGGGGACATGTAGGTGCCCAATGCCGAACGCTGGAATGTCGCGTCAGTGCAGCTAACCTGGATGGAACAGATATTGAAACTACAGAAGTAGGGAATGAAAAACTTGAAAAGTGAGGTGCTATACGCAGGTACTCAGTGCCCCCTGCAGCGGTAGCCATGCCTTTCGTTAATTACACTGCTCCTTGTGGTGGATCTATAAAAAAGAATGAATTCTGAAAGAAAAATAAAAGCCAGCAAGCTAGATAATGGTTAGAAGAGATCAGGAAAAAAAAAATGTACTGAAGCTGCTTGCCTTCGGATTAGTTATGGGCAAAACAGGCAAGAATGAATTTGGACTGTTTGAGGAAAGGAAACTACAAATGATGGATAGGAGAGTGGGTGTGTTACTATTGTGCTGAGAAAATGCCCTCCATAAATGTTCTCAGTGAAGAAGTTAGGTTATTAATGAAAGTTTCATAGGTTATTATCCTACATAATCCTTTTCTGAGGCACCTCTATCTTCAAGTTTGATGTATCAGCACTTTATAGCATACATTGTATCCCTACACTTGCAAAGCACACTAAGATGAAACATGTATGAATGGTTGAAAGTTTGCCTGGTTTATTTGGGTATTTTAAATCAATAGGTAATATTCTTAGCAAATAGGATGTGAAGTTTTTGTTGTAACATTTTTGCAAATTGAACCTGTTGAATTGAACTTTCTCAGCAAAGCTTTTGTGAACTTGCTGGGGATGAATCTTGCAGCAAATAGGGAAGAAAAAAGATTATGGTATTTGGAATGATGAGGGAAAGCTTTGTAACTGCACTCTATACACATGAATGGGGAAAATGGAAAATAAAAGAAAAATCTTGATGTTTTGATTTCCATATTTTTTTTTAACTGTGATAAAAGCCTTTTGCTATCTCAACAGAATTTCACTGACAAAAATAAATAGATGGATAAAATCAGTCTTAATATTATGATCTAAAGGCTCTTGAATTTTCATTGACTGCTGTTGGCTTCCTATCTAAGTCTAACAAGTGTGAAAATTATGATTCTAGGCCAAGAAAATTCTAATTTACCAGCAGAATCCTTATTATTTTGTTTGTTCTGAATTCTTTTGCCACAGTCAATTAGTAAATGGTGAGGGAGATGGGAGACTGCCTCCTCTTTTCTAGCAACTGATGGGATGTGTTTTGGAACATTTGCTAGGAATAAGACTCAGCATTACTTTTATCCGAGAACAAATATGTATAAAACCATGCAATTCTTTATGAAAGATATCATCCAAAAAAAAAATAGACACAGAAAAAAATGCTTAGCATATATACACTTGGGCTTTCCTAGCTATTTCTAGTGAAATGTCAAAGGGATGTGCTTGAGCTTCTGCTTTGAGTGGAATATGAATTCTTCCTTAATTTCTATTTCAATGATATGTCAAGTCAGAATATTTTAGATTTTAGAGAAAAAAAAAAGAGTTATGCCTACCAGAGACTTATTTCAAGACACCTTATAACGTATTAAACATGAGCTTTGTTCACAATAAGACTAGTGGTTGTTTAAAGTACACAAAGCTCCTGAAGGATCAAAGAGGACAGGAAAATTTCCTGTCAGTTGTCAGCCAGAAAAGTACATAATCCTATTCAATCAAGTTATGAAAAGATGTATCATTCACAGATTAACCCATAAAGATTTCATCTTGTGGACTTGGTTTCACATGCAGTCCCTAAACACTTGATCATCACCTCTCAGCCACACAAAAAATTGATTTATGTATGTGTCCTTAAATTGAGATAAAAATATTGACATAAACTAGGGTTCTTTTAGCTGTATTTTGTTTTGTTATTTTTCTTTGTTTCATTGTTATTTTGGTCTTTTTTATCTTGTTTGTTTGTTTGGTTGGCTAGTTTTTAGTAAGATTATGCTTTATACCATGAAAAAAGGGGCAGCACTTCTGGACATTTTTAAGCATTTCATTCTCTGCAATAAGAGGTAACAATGCAACAGAGCTTGTGTCTCCTCAGTAATGATAAAGATAATAAGCCATTTATTCTTGAGCATATTTACTCGTATAACATCCATGAGAAGTAGTTTTGATGGTAGAGGTAATCGTATATCTATTAGTAATTTTCCAGAATTTTCATCCAATTATTGTTCTTGTGTTTTTCATTAAAATCCATGCATGAATACCTGTATTATTATTGTTGTTGCTATTATTGTTGTCATTGCTATTGTTATTATTATTTTATTACAATAAAAATACAAGAGATACACGAAATACATGTGGAATACAAAACATTTTCATTCTGCATAGCAAAGTATAAGCTATCCAGCCTGAGCTTAGTAGATGATCTGTCTGGTATTTATTTTCAGTTGCTTTAGATGACACCACACAGAACAAGCAAATATCTGTTTGCATGTGGGTCCCATGGGCAGCTCGTGCCATAAACACATAGCTCTGAATCACATGAAGATGGCTGAGTTGCCTTGATGTTTCTCCACAAATGTGATATTGTGAAATTATTCATAACACACATGTACGTTGTATTTGTATACAGATTCAGAAAGAAGATTTCACAAAGCAGAAGTGAAAAATTCTTTACCCTCTTTTTCTTTGGAAATTTCAGGGAGTTTTCTCAGAAACTCAAAAGGCATACACTCAAGGGAGCCAAATGGAAGAAGCAGGAAAGACAGTATGATTGTGAGGAATACATTGCCATGAATTAAGCCTTATATACTTTGTAAAAGATTATTTCTAGTACTCCTGCTGGTGTGAAGTCATTTCAAAACAGAAATTATTCAGCAAATCCTAAGTATTTCAAACAGAGAAGTTAATTTCTAACTATCTAACCAAAGTCCAATCAAGACTAATACAATTTTGGACAGACAATATGTATTGCCATTCACCCTTGCCAGAATGTAATTCATTTAAATGAAATTATTTCAATTGCGCTTGCTTCACAAAGTGAACAAATTCTTGCAGGATATATATTCAAGACTAACTGCATATGCATCCCATGGATTCGTGAATGATTCTCCACTGAGAGTTAACACCAGTATTCAGTTTCCAGCCAAGAGGGACTTGCACCACTCTTGTCAGAAATGAGCAGAAGCAAATCCCTCTCTCTGATTCTAGCAAAGAATACCACTTTTCTCCCTTCTTCCCTCATCAGTATTAGCTGAGTCTAAAGGAGAACCTCTGGTTAAAATACTATCGGGAAACTGGCAGTGTGTAATCAAGACATCTGACAAAAAACATGTTCCCACCTAAAGCTATTTCCAATCTAAAATAAACAGTAATTCTTATTATGATAATAGAAATTTGCATAGGCAATGCCAAGAAAGAAGCATTAGGTAATGTATTATTAATGTTTGGAAGCCTACCTTCAGCGAGGCTTCAGACAATTATTTTACTTCAACTCATAAATCACATACTAACCAGAGTCCTTTGTGAACCAGCATGAAACATAAATCACTCAGATAGACAATATTAAAAAACTGTTGTTTTCCGTGGGCATTGCAAATAGCAAAGCCATTAGTTCCTGCATAAAAAGGCATGCCTATTTATTGCTGGCTTTCTATCCAGACTCATCACATATATGCTTTCATTCCTCAAATACAAGGTAAACAGGCAGGCTAATATCTCAGACTGTTTTGTTCTGACCTATATCAGAAAGGTAAACTAAAAAAAAAAAAAAAAAAAAAAAAAAAGGTGATATAAAAAGATTCTAAGTTTAGTCTATTTCTGAAGATCTGGAAAGGAAATGTTGGGAAATGTTGTCTTCTATCAGAGAGTCACTGAGAACAAAATATTTACTCCTCTGAGACTCTCTTGATGCAAAGCACAATATTTGCTTTTTGCTCTTTGCCCCCGAAGAGGAAATCACATGGACATGGCTGGAGCCCCAGTAACTGGGCTGACAGTCTCTGTCCTGACAGATATGGTCTCTCAGAGGTAACCGCACCAGACTGAAGTACTACCTTCTCCAGATGTCTGTCCTAGGCCTTGTCAGGGAAGCAATGTGCTGTACAAAGGATGTTAAAAGTGTACATGTACTGGCTTTACTAATGGCTTTTTTAATGGCCTAAGCTGATTTATTAGACTATGAAGTGCAGCATCCGAGAATAAGATGCTTTGCTTCTACTTATGGGAGAAATAATGTTTCAGATTAAGGCAGCTAAACCTTAGAGAGCCCATTAAGTCTAATACTCCTGAAAATATACATAGCTATTAAAAGAATAATTTTCTGATTGGGTTCTGACAATTTCTAAGCATGAAACATGGTGACTACCACATAAGTGCTCTATTTAAAATATCAGGCTTTCAATTTTATGTATGATACTCCAACAATCTTCAGAAACACTGCAGAAAAACTATTAGAGTACAAAATCCCATCTTGTGAATTATTTTCAATGATAACTATCTTTAAAAACTCAAAAGTTGAATCTTTGAAAAGTACACCTTCTATTGAAGA